CGTAAAATACCCAAGTGTAAGAGCAAGCATTGTAAGAGCTGAAATTAAAATTTGTTGGTGTCCTTGACATTTTTGCCTAAATCTGAAAGGCTGGAAATATATTCCGTTTTTATTAAACTATTCAATACATATTAATTTATGTATTTTAGACTTGGGCTAAGATTTCGTGAATTCCACGAAGTTTGGAGAAAGAATTTTCACAAAATATATTGAGTTCGTAAGGACCACCATTAGTTTCCACAGCAAGCAGATGGATATTTTGATCTTTATTTTATTAAGTCTTGGAGCATTTTAAGAGCAAATTAAAATAAATACAAATACGGAAAAGGATAAAAAATCACCAATCCCTGACTATCAACGGGCTTAAAACGAAGCTTCGTACTCCATGGATACAAAATTATGGTATGCTAATTTGAGACTCCTATTTTGGTTTTAGGTTAGACTTTCTCTAATCAATTATTTATCATTTTAAATCAATGTTCCAACTGTATTTGTATATCACTTTTAATTTTGAACATAGGCCAAGCTTCCATTTTTCAATAATTTTATGGTGCCAATTTTCTCCATAAAAAAAAATGAAAAAAATATCAATTTAATTTGATCACCTTTTTTTGACAAAAATGCACATAAAAGGTGGNAGACAAAATACCCAATCAAAAATAAAGTCCAAGAAATATGTGACTCCCAATTTATATGTGAGTCACCGGGTGTAAACGAACCAATCTCGAGCTCGGCTCGTTAACTCAACGAGCTTAAAATCAAGTTCGGCTCGTTTATCAATATTAACAAGCTGAGCTCGAGTCTTCACAAGCTAAAATCGAGCCGAACTATAGATAAATACATAAAAATCATCTTTTCGAGCCTTATTGAGCTCAAATGAGTTTGACTCGCCTCGTTTATCAAACGAGCCGAGCCGAGTTCACAAGCGGCTCGTTTAGTTTGACAGCTCTTTATGTGACCCTTCTTTAGCTGGCCAAATAACAGTAACAACAATTCAAAAATTGCACTAAAAATCAAATTGAAATATTTTTACCCTATCCCATTAAGAAAAAAAAAAAAATCTGTCAGTCATTTTCCATCAATTTTTTATAAATGCAATGAAATTCCTAATGAAAATTCGGGTCACCCTAACACAAACGGGTTGGGTCGACATCCGAGTTGCTTTTTCCCACTACTTAAAGGGCCATAGGTTGACGAGCCGCTCCAAAACCGCGGCCTTGGAGAAATAGCCGGCGAAGCCCTGAGGAGTGGCGGGCGGCGGGAAGTCCTCGGCTGGCATTGCAAACGAGCGTATCATCTTCTCCATCATCTCCAACGTCAAATATGACCCCACTTCTTGCATCCTCTCAGGCCCCATTATCGGCAACGTGTGCTCCTGATGCAATGATGCTGCCTCACCATCATTCCCCTGCTCGAAAAATTAAAAATGTCGCGTATAATAATAAAATACAAGTTCTTGTCCGAGTCAGCCTAACCGTCAGACGGGTCGACCCGTTGTACTCAAAGCATACTTATACTCTGTCATAAACATAAGTTTTTTATTTTTATTATTTTGGCTAAATTGCAATTTTGGTCCAATTAGATTATGAATGTAACAATTTTGATCACACTGGAGTGACATAAGTCACATAACAGTTTAAGTCAAGTCCTGTAATTTCCATCATTTGACCGTCAAAATTCCCGATTTATATATTTGGGATGGATTTTGAATTTTTGATTTGCAATTTAAGTCATGTAATTTAAAATTTTGCTGCAACTTCGAACATGAAAATTGGACGGTCAAAAGGACTGAAATTGCAGCAAAAATTAAATTATATGATTTATATTGCTATGTGTCCTTCCAGTGGAACCTACATTGCTACATCCATATTCTCGTAGGACCAAATTTGCAATTTAGACCGTTTTCTTTTTTTAAAAGTGATTAGGTCCGACTAACACAAGACCTACTCCATAATAAAATGATTAAATTGGTTCATTACCTAAAATGTAAAGTTAACCATGATTTTTGTGACTACTTTCTAAAAATGCATGGTTTATGTATATGCATGATGAAAATCGGATCACCTCTAGTGGGGATAAATCTGCACCGCGGCTAAAAGTCAGCTCCACGCGAAATCTTTTCGGGTCTTCTAAAGCGACCTGCATTCGAATTCGAATACCTAATTGAGCTACTAAAAATCATTATAAGAATTTGTAAAGTAATTAAAAAAATAAATAAACTCATTTAGGACGAAGAAGAACAAACTGCAGTGTTCTCAAATAGCCTCAACACAATGTAACTCATGTAGTCAAGCTCCTTTGTCTTGCACAAGCGCTCGAGGGCACTATCGCATACGGGGCTCGGTTCTCCTTGAAGAGACTCGTCCAGGTTGCAATAACGGAGAACATTCATCAATGAATGGATATGAGATTCCTTATCATTCAGAAATAGAAAAAGCTTAGAAAGGAAACAATGTAGTAGACTAGTAGTAATTTGGCAAAAATGAATTTTTAATCCTGTTGATTTATCGCCATAATAATTTATTTTAGTCCCAAGATTCCAATAAAATATCTTCTAGCAAAATATTAAATCACGGGACTAAAATTGTAACAAAATTTCAATTACAAGACTTAAATTGCTAATAAAAAATCTGGGAATTTGAGTGTTGCATTTTTAGTCCTCAAAGAACTAAAATTGCAGCAAAATGAACTTTTGCCCAGTAAATTTAGATACTCACCGATGTGAAATATAGTCGAGTCCGAACATGTCGATCTGGTGTCTTAACATTTGCATATCTAACGGATGTCAAAAATAAAAATGAAAAACAAAAACAAATCATTCGTGGATAGTAAGGAAAACAAAAATGAACAAGTCGTGTGGATCTTTTATCTTTAAAAGAAAAGGAAAAGCTATTGGGATGCTTACTTTGGATCCAAACGGTATTTTGGTTCCTTGTCATCGTCATCATCTTGATCGACCGGCAAATCACTAGCAAAGCTACATTTTCTCGAACTTTCAAGTTTGCTCTGGGACTTGGTAAGATAATCTGTATCTTCCTTTAAATTTGTAGACACGGCCGAATTATTAGTATTGTTGTTGTTATTATTATTATTATTCTCCTGGGCACTCTTCAGTTCTGCCACGTTGATTGCTTCTTCACGAGTGTTTCTCAAATCAATCAAGATTTTCCCCAAGAGGCGCCGAGCTATCTGAAATTTCGTAAAATAAAAGTTAGAACTGAAAAAGGAATACGGATAAATCTCCAACATTTTTTTTAATGTCAAGCGAGTTTTTGATGAAAATCGACGTTTGGCCAAAATTTAACTAAAAGAAACGCACATTAGGTACAAAGATAGAATTTTATCATACCTTAGAACCGATCTTCAGTTTTTGCTTGGGATTGATTCCATACTCGTTCGGTATAACACCATCTGCAAGTAACTGTGGAGAGAAAAAATGGATCACATATAAATTAATTGCATCGATTTTTTTAGCATCTAAGCCGCGACATATAAACTAACTAATAATCCATTTACTTACCTGAGCTACCTTGAAAAGTTCGTACAACCCTTCAAGATTCAAATGTGCATTATGCAAGAGATCATACCTGTCAAAATTATCACTAGTCAAGTTCAAAATAAACCCAAACTATATAATTCTGAAATGGTATGGCATTGCTATCAATACTCACTTGCAAGAGTCGTAAACGTCGGGAATTTGTTTTATATCAAACCTTCTGAAATTGTTCGAGGATATATATAGTTAGTTAACGTGCAAACAAGAAGATAAAAAGTATGTTTTTTTTTTTTTTTGCATATGAACTTACTCTTTGCGTTCGTTATACAAATCTCTCTCGAGTTTTCTCCAACGAGCAAACATGAGAAGAAACCCTTCACTACCGCACGGTAGACCTGCGGCTATACGGTCAACGTCTATGTTCGTCTTACCGAGTGCCTTAGCTTGATCATATGGAGGTATTACATCCGAAACGAGCTCCTCACATTCATCCTTGGCCATTTCTTTCACTTGCTCGGTAACCTTCTTCGTTAGCTTCACCTGTAAAAAAAGTGTGACATTTTTCAGAAATCCACAAAAAATAAATAAAAGATAAAAGATAAGAGACAAAATTGCATTTTTTAGTCTTGCTGGTTAAACACCATAGCAATTTTAGTCCCAAGGTTCCAATATTTCGCTTTTTGGTCCTTTAATTTAATATTGTGCTGCAATTCAGCCCTTTGAGTACTAAAATTGACAAATTCACAAAATTTTCAATTAGCAATTTAAGTCCTGTAATTTAAAATTTTGTTACAATATCATTCCGCAAAGGACTTAAAATGCAGCAAAATATTAAATCACAAGACAAAAAAGCGAACAGTTGGAATTTTTGGGACTAAAATTGTTATGATGTTAACCAAGAGGACTAAAAATGCAATTTTGCTAAGAAAGAATAATACCATTTCCGGTAATAGTTGAGTTGCATTTGAAGGAACTCCATGCCCATCAACCATCCAAGGCTTCTCGGGCGGGCCACTGCTTTGAATATATTTTGCTCCAGAAGTTATAATCTCATTTAGCCTAGCCTGAATAAAATATATTAATATATAAATATAAAATCAAAATAAAATACTCAGAACAAAAGATCTATGTTAAATAATCGCAAGACAAACCGAACCGAACCTTAGCTGCTTCCATCTCAGAACTGGCGTTTTCGAGTCCATCCAACATGGAAGAGTCCTTGCTGACTAGTGAAACCTTAAAAAAAATTACATCAGATATTACAAAAAATGACCACACATAAAACAAAAAAAAAAAAAAGTTCAACTGCAAGAAGTTTAGTGTTTTTCGTGTTTACAGACCAAAATCGGTGTTAATTGTCCTTCCAAGTCTAGAAGACCTTTAGCAAAGGCAGCTGCTGACATCTGTCAAAATTGATAATCAATAACTCAGGCGACCAAAATTGATAATCAATAACTCAGGCGACCAATTTGGTGATAGTGTAAAGACAGAAAATGAGATGAAGAAGACAGATAAAAAGAGGATCAAAACTCATACTTTCACCCGAGTATTTAAAACAAGAACAAAATTTAACCTGCACACGGCCCTCATCCGAGCTGTATATTTTTAAGTCATGACGATATGTGCTGTGTAGGCGGAGAAGCCCGGTGCCTTCACCTGAGACGAGCAAAACCGAAAAGAGAANAAAAAAAAAAAAAGAAGTTAAAATATAAAAAATACTGAAAATAGAAAATAGTATCACGTATGGATATGTTGACACCTTAAAATTGCTCACCTGGATACATATTATTCCGAAAATACCTCCCGAGTTCTTCAGCCTGCCCCCAAAAGAAATTATGAGCACAGTACAAGTGAAAATTTATCTTAGGTGAATCGCCAAATTTACCAGGTTTTGGTAGTTACAAAATAAATAGGCTAAATTGCATTTTTAGTCCTCTTGGTTTAATGCTATAGCAATTTAAGTCCTAATATTTTGCTGCAATTTTAGTTCTTTGAGGACTGCAATTGCAACAAAATTCACAAATTTATAGACTTTTTATTAGCAATTTAAGTTCTACAATTTAAAATTTTGTTGCAATTTCAATCAAGTAATTTGAAATTTTGTTACAATTTCAGTCTCACAATAGCTAAAAGCGAAAACTTAGATAAAATTGTTATGGCGTTAAGCCAAAAGGACTAAAAATGCATTTTTGCCCAAATAAATATATTAAAATATATCAGAAATTATGTTGACCTGCTTTCTTCCAGCATGAGTAAGAACACCACCATATTTGAGAACCATCAGTGCCTCGACAGGCTTTTCTTCTTCCCCTTCACCGTTTGCTTTTGGAACTTTGATCCATTTTAATGGCTTGAGCTGTACCTTCCTATAGATTCCCGAAAAATGGCCACCCTGAAGGCCGCAAGCACTAATTTAGTAGCCAAAATACAAACATCGAAACAGCTATGTCAAAAAAAATAAAATATATGTATTTTCTAAGTGAAAGAAAAACGGAAGGTATAATAAAACTTAGTTCAAACAAGAGAAAAAAAATGCATAGTGATCTCAAAAGTTACAGTTTTAAGGACCAAAACAAAAATTATTTAAAACGGACCTCCTCAAGAACAGCTTTCACTTGGCGAAGCTTTTCGGCATGCTCAATGTCTTCAGCATCACTGTCACTCTCTGGACCAGGTCTGCAAGAAAATGTAGATCCTTTAATTGAACTTATTAATACATCTTAATTAATGTTTAAACAAAACAAACCAATTGCATCAAGATTAATTAAAGGGCGTGAGGAAATAAATATTAGTTCTTCTTAATAACCTAGTCCGAGGTACTAAAATTCGTGTAGCATCCAATAGATCTTGCAATTGGACCGCACTTTTCAGCTTTGTCTGCTAAAAAGGAGCATAAGAATGAATGTTGTTAAACTTAGGCTCAACAATAACAATTAAAGTAGAAAATACGAGAATTACAGACAAACTAAAGCACCTCTGCTCTAGGCCTTCCCCCGTTATATTTTAGCATCAAATTCAGAAGCTTCTCCTCCGTAACTTTCAACTTGACCTTTTGTTTCGGAGTTCTATCTCCACTGAAACAAAC